CCGTTCTCTCCCCAGTCCCTCAGAGACAGCTGGGTGAGGACCGTGATGGGTGCTGGGTTCCCTGGCCCGACACAGTGAAGGGAACAGCCATCTGGTATCTCAGAGTCAGGGCTCCTGCAGAGAAGGTGCTCCGTAAATTTTGCTGAACAAATTGAGGCCCTGGAGTGAGCTCTGGGAGCACAGGTCGGGTAGGGAAAGGAGAGCCGCTAGGGCTGGGGGTGGAGAGGCCTCAGCAGAGGGATGGGGTCCAACTTTGGGCCCATGCCTCTCCTCATCCCACCTTCCCCTCCTCCTTTGGGGACCCTCCACACTGCCCCTGCCCAGGCACTGCCTCCCCTCAGGGCCTCTTGGGGGAGCCCCCTGTATCTCCCAACTCAGAAGCCTGAGGTCAAATTCTTCTGTGAAGCTGACTTCTCTGGGCCTCATCTGTGAAATGGGGTGACAGATGGGTGGTGAGTCCTAGAAGCATTTCACTGTCATCAGCAGGCTGGGGAATGAATCGTGAGAGTCACAGTGAGCATGTATTAAGCACCTACTGTATTCAGGGGACATAAGGCTTACATGTATTGCCCCTTTAACTGTTATAACACCCCTGTGGGGCATGTTTGATTATTATGCCCCTTTCATGGACAGAGAAGCCAAGGCGGAAAGCCATGTCACACCTGGAGTCAGGGACAGATTTGCAGCAAGAGCCTTAGGAAGGTGGAGCTATAGGGGAGGACTGGTGTGTTTTAAGTCTGTGGGTTTTTCCATGAGAGCTTGCAAGAAGGAGAAGAAAGGAAGGGCGGAGAGAATGGGAAGTTTCCTGATGGAGGAGAAAGAGCACTGGACCAGGAGCATTTTGGACAAGATAGGGATTGTCTCCAGTGCCACGCTAGGTACCCTGTGCGTGTCCCTGGCTGGGATCTGGCCCTGCAGTACAGGAGTGGAGCCCAGGGAGGGTGCAGGGCGGTGGGCGCTTGGGAAGGAGCCCCCTCCTCACTGTGCAAGCTGCCTCCTTCCTTCCTGCCCCAAGCCCTTGCTCACACTGTTCCCTCCCCCCAGGACACACACTTGACGAATAGGAAACAGGAAACTGAGGACCAGAGAGGTGAAGTGACCTATTCTCCTGCCCTCAGCTCAGTGAGTGGAGGAGCCTGGCAACAGAAGGCCGGCCCACTCGACATGTAGGAAGGGGAAGCAGAGCTTTTTATAACCGAGGATAATTAATTGGTTGTTGTCTGTGACTCATTACTCTCATGCTGCCAATGAAGGCCTTGGTAGGACAGAAGACAGGTCTCAGGCTG